CGTGCCCGCGGTGCATCTGCCCAAGGAACACGGGCTGGCAGCCAGCGAGTGGGCCGATTATTCAGAAAGAATGTCTCCAAATGGGAACCACCGCGCCAGAGGCTTCCCTCCCCGCATCCCACACGCATCCCCACCCGCCAGGCCTGAGCCGCCAGGCAGGACTCTGACCTTGGCCGGACAGGTCGAGCGAGCGCTGGTGGTTGTCCGTGCCGTCCGAGATCTCGAAGGTGTACTTCCCTTTGTCCTTCTCCGTGGGCTCACAGATCTGCAGCCAGGCCATCTCCTCGCTGCCGCCCGCCCTCATGTGCTCGCTGGATGCGATCTTAGCGTCTCTTTGACAAGAAAAGGCAACGGGACATGTTTGAATCCAGATCTCAATCACATGCCAGTCCCCGAGGGGCAGTGGCCGGGCTCGGGCGGAGGCCTCGTCTAACTGTCCGGTGCCTCTACCAGGACAGGCTTTTCAGGATGTTAGTAATTTAGTCTCTACATCTGTGGCTCAGACCCAAACACCTTCTAAAATTAAACACAATGCTTAGTTTTTAAAGATGAATTGCTATTTAATATATCCATGTTGGCTATAACATAATGGACTTTAAAATACTCTATGCAGCCCAGCCGGCCTGGCTCAGTGGTTGAATATCAACCTATGAACCAGGAGGTCACTGTTCGATTCCAGGTCAGGGCACATGCCCGGGTTACAGGCTCGATCCCCAGTGTAGGGTGTGCAGGAGGCAGCCGATCCATGATTCTCTCTCATCACTGATGTTTCTTTCTCTCTCTCCCTCTCCCTTCTTCTACGAAATCAATAAAAATATATTTTTAAAAAATACTCTATGCAGTATGGCATTTTTTTCCTCAAAAAAAAATTTTTTTTATTACATGTGATCTAGCAATTGCATTTCTGGGTCTAAACCCGGAGGGGTTGACGGCAGGGACACGAGGAGCTACATGGGCTCCGGGTGCCACGGCACCATGTGAGCGGCCGGCAGGTGGGAACAACACCGGTGACGGACAGACAAGCAGAGCTCGGTGGAGTGTCGCTCAGCCTTACAAAGGGCGGAGCCCAGCCCTGGCCGGTGTGCTCAGTGGTTAGTGTCATCCCACACACTGAAGGGTTGCAGGTTTGATTCCCAGTCAAGGGCACGTACCTGGGTTGCAGGTTTGCTCACTGCCCGCAGTGGGGGCGCATGCAGGAGGCAACCAGTCGATGTGTCTCTCTCACCTCTCTCCCTCTCCCTCTCCCTCTCCCTTCTCCCCTTTCACTCTCTCTGCAGAGCAATGGGGAAATATCCTCAGGTGAGGATTAACAACAACAAAAAGACGCTGCCTCTAGCACATTCCCCAAGGAGCCCCTTGGCCGGGGCCTGTGACGCCCCCCGGGTCTGAGTCCCACGCTGCGAAAAGCACAGGATGCACCGGGACACCAGCTAAAACCTCCCTGTCCACATGCCCAGCATCACCTCGAAGACAGAGGCCTGGCGTCCAATCCAGACAGGAAGAGCCCAGAGCACTGGTCCCCCCAGCAGGGCCCGCGCTCCCCCTCATCCACCCACACAGGTGATGCCGCTCAACACGGATCACTCGCAGCCAGAGTTTGCCTGGGAAATGTCACTGGGGACAAGGCACATCTAAAGGGGTGAGGAGGGGCCCGGCTGGTGTGGTTCAGGGGTTGAGCATCGACCTATGAACCAGGAGGTCACGGTTCAATGCCGGTCAGGGCACGTGCCCGGGTTGTGGGCTTGATCCCCAGTGTGGGGCGTGCAGGAGGCAGCTGATGCAAGATTCTCTCTTATCATTCATGTTTTTATCTCCCTCTCCCTCTCCCTCCCCCTTCCTCTCTGACATCAATAAAAACATATTTTTAAAAAATAAAATAAAGGCACGAGGAGGCACCGGGGCTGGGTCCAGGGAGGAGCTTAAAGACGCTGGGGCGCTGACCCCGCTGAAAGCTGGGCTGACACTGTCACCATGTCCTCAGGTTAGACCGGCCCTTCCCACCTCCTCCCCCAGCAGGTGCCCCTGAGGCCCCGGTGGCCTCGCCCGGCGCTCCCCTCGGAGACCTGGAGCTCTAGCGAGTGTTGGGGATGAGCCGGAGGAGAGCCTGCCCGCACACAGGCTCGCCGGCTGCTGTGCTCCCATCGTAAGCGTTTGGCTTATGTGGTCCTTTCACTTCCGTCTGCCTCCCGGGAAGGCAGCGGCGGACACCCTGGATGTGGCTCTAGGTCTCGTTCTTCCTGGACTAGCTCTGCGCTGAGTGCCCAGCCCCGTGTCACCCGGGGAACCACCCTTGTCCACACCGACCACAGGAGACGGTGAAGGAGTTGGCCTCTGACCCGGTCCAGCATTTCTGTACCTGCCTCCTGCCCCTGCGTCCCCATGCCAGGCTGGGCCCAGCCCGAGCTGAGCCAAGGCCTGTCCTTGTTTCTCAGAACCCCAGGGGCTGAGGATGCGCCACTGGCCTGGTCCTCGGACGGCCCGTCCACAGCGCTGGGACTTACTTGTGGTACCAGTTCACACGCATCTCCTCGGTGAAGTATTTCATGAAACACTGCAGTCTGATTCCGTCCGGGGTGCAGAGTATCTTCAGGGGAGAAGCAGACAAGCCTGCAGAGAGCGAGACACGCTCAGATCCCAAAACGCAGCCCTGCCACACGAGCAGGAACCACATGAGCGGGAACCACAGGAGCAGGATCCACGTGGGCAGGAGCCAACGGGAGCAGGAGCCACGTGGTTGGGAGCCATGTGGGTGGGAGCCACGTGAGTGGGAGCCACACGGGGACCACGTGAGTGGGGACCACATCAGGGGAAACAGCGCTGTAGGCAGGTCCTCGCCCCCCAGCGCAGACGCACTCCCACACCCGTGCCTCTGTCTGTCAGCCCCAGGTCCTCACGCTTGTCCCCTGCCACAGTCACTCGTCAAACAAGCATCTGCTACGCCCGAGTCATTGGCCGAACCCTGCTGAGCACTGTAAGGAGAGAAGCGTGCCTGCCCCTAGGCCTGTCCTTGTTTCTCAGAACCCCAGGGGCCGAGGGCGCGGCCACTGCCTGGTCCTCGGATGGCCCGTCCACAGCGCTGGGACTTACTTGTGGTACCAGTTCACACGCATCTCCTCGGTGAAGTATTTCATGAAACACTGCAGTCTGATTCCGTCCGGGGTGCAGAGTATCTTCAGGGGAGAAGCAGATAAGCCTGCAGAGAGCAAGACACACTCAGATCCCAAAACGCAGCCCTGCCACACCAGCAGGAACCACATGAGCGGGAACCACGGGAGCAGGAGCCACGTGGGCAGGAGCCACGTGTGTGGGAACTACGTCAGGGGAAGCAGCGCTGTAGGCAGGTCCTCGCCCCCCAGCACAGACGCACTCCCACACCCGTGCCTCTGTCTGTCAGCCCCAGGTCCTCACGCTTGTCCCCTGCCACAGTCACTCGTCAAACAAGCATCTGCTACGCCCGAGTCATTGGGCAAACCCTGCTGAGCGCTGTAAGGAGAGAAGCGTGTCTGCCCCTGAGCGGCTCAGCGTGTGGACAGGAGGGGAAGCGTGCGGATTGCGCTGTGACACGGGAAGTGCTGTGTTCACTGATCCAGAACCCAAGACAGTAGGACATCCCCAACGGGACCGGCCACGGGAGCCTGAGCCCCAGACGCTGCCGACCCGGCACGTGGCCAGGAGGCCCTGTCCTACTTCTGGTTTTACGTCAAGGGCACCGTTAGGAGGCCTTCATCCTGAGGGCATGGGGGCACTTATACTTTTTCTAACCAACATTTCAGCAGCCGGACCAATCGCCCGTGCCACCCCCAGAAGGAAGTCCACTCTCCCTTCTGGCCCGAGGCCCCCGCTTCGCCAGCGGCTTCTGCGCTATCGGGTCAGACATTCCCGAGTCCCATCCACACTCAGCACCAAGGCGTTAGCGGGAGTCTGGCCCCGCGGGGAGCGGTGCACTTTGGAGAACCCTGTGCAGGGAGAAGCTGCCCATGTTAAGGACGGGGTGGGTGACAATGTCGGGAACGCCTGTGGGTGAGGAGAGAACCCTATGTGAGTGACAGGGACCGCGAGAGTCCGAGGGGCCCAGGCGGCCAGGTGCCCCTCGACCGGCCGGGAATTAACTGGGGGACGGAGAGCACACTGCCCCGTCCCCAGGGACATGGCCTGCCACCGGACACTCAGGTGCTCTCTCCTAAGACTCTGCAGAGTCAGTGGCCCATTGGGGTGGGGGCACGGGGTGTAATAGATCCTATACCAGGACCCACACCGGAAACCTGCATGAGATATTGATCAATATCTCCCCAACCCATTTGATAAAAAGGGAAGAAAATAATAATAATTAAACCAGTGGGTGCCCCCATCCGATTGCCAGCTCTAGCTAAGGGGGCGCCTCCTGCTCATGGCCTCGGTCCCCCTTCTCCGTCTCAGCTCACGCGGAAAGCACAGAGACCTGGCGGCACTCCACACTCACGCGGCGTGCGGGGTGCGAGCAGGGCTCATAAAACAAACTCACAAAGCAAACTCTAAACATAACGCGGAGGAGCCCTCGGACGCCCTCGCGAGCCCGTCAGGCGGCTGCTCTGCCATTTCGCCGGGGCCCCCACAGGGCAGGCGCCTGGGTCCCCCCCCCCCCCCCCCCCCGGGGAC